AGCAGCAGCAGCAGCAGCAGTCAGCAACAATCAACAGGCAGCAGCAAGGAAGAACAAGCGACTTCAATCTTGCAAGCGTTGAAGTATCCAGCATGTTGTCATGCTGCATTTTTCAATGCCAAAAGTTGTTGCTCTAAAACCTACCGGCTTTCTTGTTTCTGCTGCACTTCGCCTACGTCGCCAGCAGCGGTGGCTGCCGCGAGTGTTGACTTCTAAAAAGTTAGCATGCTGGTTTGGCACTAAGAAGACTGCTTTAGAGCCTGGCAAAACCATCACAGCTGCAATAGTGTCGGAAAAGGTGTGGCTGAGTGGCTGCGTGGCAAGCCCAAACAAGGAATCAGAAGAAGCAGCGCCCCTGATCCTAATAAGAGCAAGAGCAAGGGCAGGAGTCAGAGCAAGAGCGAGAGCAAGAGCAGGTGCAAGAGCAGTGACAGTAGAGCCAACTCCCCCCGTATTGGAAACACTTTTAGAGTTTCTATTGGCGAACCGGGGGACACGGGCTGTTCTGCAGGCTCTGCTTCGTTCGCTATCATGCCGATGAGGACGCCCATGCAGCCGCTCGGTGGGGTTCAGGGTTGGAGGGTTGGAGGCTTTGGGGTTTACGGTTCAGGGTAGGGTTTAGGGCAAAACCAAAAAGACGCAACTGCCATGCAAGGCCCCGAACTGCATACTTAATACTGGACACGCCAAGCAGGAACGAATCCTCCTAACGAAGAGTGTAACAGTGCCAGTTTGGTTTGTAAAAACAGAGTTAATGCAGCGAATATCAAGAAGAAGACTAGCCTGTCCATGAGTCGCGGCGATATGTTCCAGAGTAATAAGGCCAACTTGAGAGTAAGGCGTTGTAGTCCTGTAATCGATAAACCACCCCCAGTTTAAGGGGCTTACTGTGTCTAGATTCGGGTCCCCATTGAAGAACCCGTATTCCAGACAGAGCGGGCTATAGTAACCATGGGTCTCCAGGCTTTCGTACTCTCAAGATAGCCAGTATTATTCACCATCCCATGTAAACTCTAAGCGCTAGCAAGCCTTACTTGCCTACTCTGGCTATAACAGTGAGCCTAAACCCTAGAACCCTAAACCCCCAAAGCCCTAAACCCAAAGCCCTAACACTCCTTGCTCACTTTGCTTTCTCACAGGCCAGAAAAATTGGAGACGTCAGCTCCGGAATCCGTAGGTCAGACTCCGACAGCCTTATCGTTTAGTTTAGGGCTTTGTGTTTAGGCTTTAGGGTTTTCATTACTACCTTTTACTCCTGTTATGATGGCTACTACTGGCGGTGGTAGACGTAGTTGTAGTGGCAGCAGTAGCAGCAATGGCAGCAGCAAAAGCAGCAGTGACACTAGTATATATGATCTAGTAAGAGTATCAACATTATCTTTATGAAGCACTAAAGTTTAGCTCTTATCCAATATTCGGGTACTTTGAACCCGAAACCAGACGAAGTAGCTTAGCCACGCCACAAACCTTGACCCTAAACCCTAAACCCTAAACCCTAAACCCTAAACCCTAATCCCTAAACCCTAAACCCTCAATCGTCCTACCACCGGTTCTTGGGACTGGGGCAGCTCCTGAACTGGCGTCTCTGGGTCTCCCCCAAGAGGAGGGAAGTCGCTTGTCGGTTTATAGGGTTTAGGGTTTGGGG